GAAGCTTTAATGCTCTCGAGCTCAGAATCGTGGGCTGAAGAGTGTTCCCTTGGGTGGGTTGCGCGCTCGAGCTGCATGCTGATCGGAGTTCGTGATGGAGTATTGAGGTTAATAATCCGATGCTGGACGGCTGGGCGTCCATGTCCTTCAGCAAGAGACGGGGATGAGTTCGCCCTAGGGTGCTGCGAGTTCGCAGGTCGGGAAGAGTCGAGCTGCTCTTGTATGACGGTCTGAGCCGTTGTGAGGGAGTCCAGACGGGCGTTTGTTTGACGAACCATGTCGTCTTGTTGATCAAAGTGTCTCATGAGGGTTCCCAGGACGCGAATGAGATCAACCTGATCGTCCGTATTTGTTGTTGCTTCAGGGCCACGAGCTGTGGCATTCGTTTCTTCATTTGTTGCGGTCTGAGTGACGACCGGGCTGGACTCCATTATGATAGGTGGAGCTTCGCGAGCTGCCTCCAAGATTTCCTMATTTGATGTTTCTCCGGGTTGTTGACTTATGGATACGTGCGGACTCATATTTCTTTGCGTTAGAAAATCTCCAAGCCCCCTACCTGGCGCGCCAATTGTTTATCCAAGCAGGTCGACAATGAATTTATAATAGATCGGAGGTCGGAGAATCTCGTATATAGAAAGTTGAGTCGAAGAGGTGTAAGTACAAATAGATCGCTAAAGATAGTCCGGACGGATCCCGTGCTATCAGTTCGCTAGCTAAGAGATCGTGGCAGATCGGACAGACCCCGAACTACCAGATTTTGAGTATAAAGAGTAGAATTTAGAGAGCTCGCGAGTGGCGGCGCTTGTACTTCTTGAGGAATAATCGAATGAATTGTCACATCACCCTTTGACCTCTATTTATAGTGAAAGACGGCGGGTTTAACTTGAGTTCAGCTGACCGTGGTTGATCTGATATACCCCTGTTTTGACCAAGCTCAGTTCAGATATGCCTTAGGTGTGATCAGATCGCGGTTAACAGTTGGAGTGGGCTTCTGGCAGCCCGCTGGGCTTCTCCTGAACTCGCTGGGCCTCTGCCTCCTTTGGTGATTTGCGACTTGCGATCTGCTCAGAATGTTGGGCCGCAGGTCCGAGCCTAACATATATTCCATAGGATTTGAACCTCTTATATTTCGTAGGATTCAAACTTATGATATTCGAATCTCGTACATTTTGTAAGATTCATTGCTTATCCATTGGACCTAATTTTTCGTTGAGTTTTACACTGAATCGAACTAATGAATTTAGATTATCCAACAAGATAAATGT